GAAAACCCTACTTTGGAGGAGTATTCGAAGCACATGGGGGAGAGTCGAGGCTAGATCTTTGTGCAGCATGAAAGTAGGTTTCTTCTACTACAACGACAAGACGTTGGATGACTGGAATGAAGAATGAAAGGCCTCGAACGAAAGCTCCAAAGATCGTATCGAAGGTGAGTTTGTCTTTGGAAATAAGGCAATCTGAATCCTTATCGGATTAGGATTCCTTTGTTGTTTTGTGTTTAATTCCTTTTCATTGTTGGTTTTAGTTTCCTTTTCCAATTGTAATTTGTTTAGGACTTCTCTAAGAGTAGTAGGATTGGCTAGGTCTATTTAAGTAGCTTTGATTCATTGTAATTTTCAGATTTTATAGAATTGAATACAAACTTGAGTTTGGTTCACAAAGCTTGTTGCTTTCGTGAGTTTGAGAGTTGTTTAGAAGGAGTTCTAAGCAGCTTGAGTGCTTGTATTGTTCAGCTAATCACGTTGTTCATTGCCGAGCTTCTACCTATAGTTTACGAGCCTTTCTCCCTTCGTGAGAATTGCACGAAACGTACACCAACACACATTCAAATCATACCATGTTTGTGGAGTTCTTGCTCGAGGGAACTCTTGGATTCCTTAGTTGTGCTATTCTGATCAATAAACCTCATCTAGGGGTTCATCAAGTGGCATCAAGAGCCTTGTTCTACACAGTGGACAGAACGAAAGAAGGTGTGGTCACAACGACACCCTCGACAAGGTCAAAAGGACCTGTGTCGGAAGACCCTGCTTTTGTGTTTCCAGAATCAACGAAGAAGAAGGAGTGAATAGAGATGGTGGGACAGACGTTTGACATGAAGGAATTGTTGGATCGTATGGAGGAGATGGTTCAGGCTCAAATTTGAGATTATTGCTCGGCCGGAGACTCGGGTTCGAATAGAGGAAGCTCCCGGCGGAGAAAACCCAGCTGGCAATCCAGCATTGTTGGATAGAATCGCGGAGCTTGAACGGCGACTCGTCATTGCTAATCCCAATTGAGAACGTCCACACCGTGATCGTCGCGAACGACAACAAGAAGCAGAACTGGCAATCCCTCCGGGCATCAAGCTATCAGTACCATCGTTTCAGGGGACAATCAATCCCTCGACATATCTCAACTGGGAAAGGAAGATTGTGCTTTTCTTCCAATGTGGACAGTTTACTGAAGGCCAGAAAGTAGCTATGGCTACTTATGAATTCTCGGATTACGCCGCCCAATGGTGGGAGCAGCTGCAGCTCCGGCGGCGACGAAATAATCAGAATCCGATCGCGACTTGGGACGAGCTACGTGGAATTATGCGAGATAGGTTCGTACCTGCCTATTACCAGCACGAACTCTATGAATCTCTGCAGAAGGGTCAAGGAGTGTGGAGGAGTACTTCTGAGAACTTGAATTGCTGATGTTGCGGGCCGATGTCAGGGAAGATCGAGAAGCGACGGTGGTGCTATTTCTTCATGGTTTGAACCGTGAGATTCGACAGGAAGTGGATCTTTGATCTTTTGTTGACCTGGAAGAAGCCCTTCACCTAGCAATTAAGGTTGAAAAGCAGTAGAGATCGTCGAGGAAGTTCATGCCGGCAAACAAGGCAGCCGCAGAGTCAAGTTTCGACTCTATTTCCCAGCATACACGACCTGAACCTGGAAAATTGGTGCCCAGGAACACAAATCCAGTACTTACTGAGCGCTCTGGAGGCATCCAATGCTATAAATGCCATGGTAGAGGGCACAAAGCAAATCAATGTCCCAATCTGAAGACGTTAATCATCATGGACGGCCAATATCTCACCGACGACGAACAAAATTCAGATGACAGTGACGTCGACGAGAAGCTTGAAGCAGAACCTGCCCCAGGAAAGCTCATGACATTAGTCGACGAGTTCTAACCATGGATGTTCAGTCCGATACTAGTCAAAGAGAGAATTTGTTTCATTCTCGCTGTTTGGGTCGCCAGAAAGGTTTTGTCCGTGATCGTGGACGGAGGCAGTTGTGCCAACGTCGTTAGTCAAGAGGCAGTAGACAAGCTAGGGCTGCACACGACGAGACACCCCGACCTATACAACTTGCACTGGCTTAACGACTATGGTGTCATTCGTGTAACAAAGCAAGCTAGGATCAGCTTTGAGATCAGAGCGTACGAGGACGAGCTTGAATTTAATATTGCGCCAATGCAAGCTACTCACTTACTTCTCGGAAGGCCATGGCAGTTCGATCGCAGTGTTTGCCACTATGGAGACACGAATTGCTACAAAGTTCGTCACAATGGGAAGACTATTCTTTTAAAGCCACTGTCACCGGAGGAGGTTCGAGCAGATCGGCGGCAACTTGAGGCTAGCCGTCGACGAACCAAGGGGAAGCAAGATGAGGGATCCATTTCGTCCACTCTCTTCACTCAGCGTTTTATGCTTACTAGGTATAAACGACTAAGAGCACCGCGACGACGTCGCCCCGGCAAGCCTTCACCGGAATAAAGCAGGAGAGAGGGAGAATTGGGGGAGCTCCTCATGAAGATTCAACACTAGGGGAAGACTTCATCACGTTCCATGGAGTTCGGGGAAGCTCTACCATCGAATGGATTGGACCGAATCAACCCAGACCCCCGAATCCAATTAGAGTAGAATTTGCTCTGAAATTTACCAACTTCGATCAAAAATCGAGTCTATGGGTTGAATCGATTAGTGATGATTCGACTCGATTGGTGACTGCAAAATCATTCAAGGCAACCCTAGGAAACTCTCAGCTTATTCAATTCGACCTTGAGAGCTCTACATAAAAAATGCCCAAATTACGATTGAAGTTCCTGGGTTTGGAGAATTTGAACTGCGGCCATGGCAGGAATGAAAATGACAACGATTCGGTGATACAGACGATGAATCGAGGTACGAGGACCACCTAGGACTTCAATTCGATCCAAAACGAAGCCATTGGTGACCTTGGATTGCCTAGTGGATGTCTGAATCAAAAAGCCCTAATTTCCTCTTCAACGAACACTGCCTGGGTTCTTCACAACATGAAACATAAGCAGCCTTACTACGACCGATTTGGGAAGAATTTCTTGAGGATTTTGAGATAAAGAGGGCCAAAGCTTTGAGGGCAAAGCTTATTTATGAGGGGGGGCCAAATATGATCCCATTTGGCTCAGTCTACAAGCCAAAATGGATTGAATCAAAATCCATCTCAAGCTATGAAATGAATTCCAAATTTTGTCCAAGTGTTTTATCCGTTTCAGGTACCTTACTTGGCACTCAAGTTTCTTCCAATTGGATCAATGGAAATGGGCAAAGGAAGTCTTGTTTTGAAGATGGTGAGTTTCTCTACAAGATAGAGTATTCTGGAACTCAAGAACAAGGCAGGAGGGTCATGGTTAAAGCGTCTCAAAACGCTATGTCGAAGCTGGAATTCTGCCAAAAATGGGTTAAGTGTCAGAACCAGTTTGAGAACCCTACTTTGGAGGAGTATTCGAAGCACATGGGGGAGAGTCGAGGTTGGATCTTTGTGCAACATGAAAGTAGGTTTCTTCTACTACAACGACATGGCGTTGGATGACTGGAATGAAGAATGGAAGGCCTCGAACGAAAAAGGTCCAAAGATCGTATCGAAGCTGATTTTCTGTCTTTGGAAACAAGGCAATCCGAATCGTTATCGAATTAGGATTCCTTTGCTGTTTTGTGTTTAATTCCTTTTCGTTGTTGGTTTTGGTTTCCTTTTTCAAGTGTAATTTGTTTAGGACTTCTCTAAGAGTAGTAGGATTGGCTATGTCTATTTAAGTAGCTTTGATTCATTGTAATTTTCAGATTTCATTGAATTGAATACAAACTTGAGTTTGGTTCACAAAGCTTGTTGCTTTCGTGAGTTTGAGAGTTGTTTAGAAGGAGTTTTAAGCACCTTGAGTGCTTTTATCGTTCAACTAATCGTATTGTTCGTGGCCGAGCTTCTACCTATAGTTTACGAGCCTTTCTCCCTTCGTGAGAATTGCACGAAACTTCCACCAACACACATTCAAATCATACCCTGTTTGTGGAGTTCTTGCTCGAGGGAACTCTTGGATTCCTTAGTTGTGCTATTCTGATCAATAAACCTCATCTAGGGGTTCATCATGGAGTTCGGTTCTAGATGTCATTGACGTATGATGATTCTAGGATGCATAAAGGATGTTCATTCCCTTCCAAGCAGGGCCGTCCAATGTAAGGATGCGCACTATTGCTTAGGTTTTGAGAAGATGGTGAAAGAGTTTGAGGAATTGTCCTTGAAATGTGAAGGGTTGCAAGGGAGAGATTGAAGAGCTATTGTGGGTTGGTAACATGGGCAGTACTCATTTTCTGGAGACCAGACAATGGGAGCACTTGTTGGGACTATGTGCTAGTTGTAACAAGGAATTGAGGTTGTCGCTTCAACACAACAGGAAGAAGAAGCGTAAACAATGATTGAACCAAAGTTAGGGATTGGCGATCGAGTCATGGAGGTTCAAGAGAGATGAAATAGTCTGCAACCTTGAGGGCAAGGTTGGTCTCGATGAACGTGGATTATTAGAATCCCGATCTTTTAAGGACTCGTGCCTTCTGATGACAATATTATTATAATTATTTATTATTGTTGATGTTAGTAGTAGTTTAGTCGTATTATGAGTAACAGGATTATTCGTATGGTTTTTTTCAGTATTTTCCTATATTAGTGTACTTGGACATTTATTATCAATCAACTAAGAACAATTATTCAGAAAATATCTCTCAAACCCTAACCTCTTTCTCCGTTAATCTCGTCCTTCTCCCTAAAGGTTTCAACTTGTTCTGTCTATTCTTCAATCCCTAATCCTCAATTCTCGTTCTCAAATCCTTAATTCTTATTCTCAATCCTCAATTCCCTTGTGTGTTAATTACTAGTAGACAGTACTCTAATTCCCACATGCTAATTGCCTTTACTGCTTGTATTTCCAGACTGTTTGACCATGATTCCGCTATCCAAGAGTTATAAAATGAAAATGAAGAGAAACTCGATGAAATAAATAGAAAATGTCAAATCCTTTATTTAAGAGATTAAAAGGCTTAATTCCCAAGAACTCGAGTTATTAGGATCAAATAGTTAGTTCGCTAACACTTATCTCAATATGGTCTGAACATTGAAGATGTAAAGATTTAAGAACATGCATATTAGTATTACAGGTAATAACAGTCATCGTCGCGTGTATAAGGAGAACCAACAAAGAAGCCCCCCTTTTCGACAGCAGCCGTCGGTGATAAGAAAAATAAGACATGGAAACGAGGAACCCATGATTAAGACACAAGGCACACTTTATTTGTATTACTATTACAGGGGCCAAGACCTAGGACTACAAATACAAGCAGGGTAAGTACAATACCACCAGCATTGCAGAGGAGAACACATATGTACAACCAGATGAAATCCATAGAGAAATTGTTATACAAGTTGTTCGGGTGTCGGAAATTGTTATACAAGTTGTTCGTGCAGACACCCGCACACCAGTAGCAATGTGCTGCTGCAACAATTTATAGAGGACAATCATTTATTCGCTCACATCAAGAAGTTGACAGTAGGCTGCTGAATACCCGCTTTAGACTTGGGCACGCTCCTCGCAACCGGAACATGCTTATTGAGATTATCTGGAATGCCAGCACAAATAATACCCCACAATGAGCATTCAGTGGGCAACACGAGAAGACAGTAAATTCATTCATCATGATCTCCTCACCTTTGGGCAAAAGCGTACATCAAGAGTCTCAAGCATATTACACTGAAAAATAGCAGCTTCAACAGCTTCTTCGTTGATGTTGCAGGACTTGAATGAAATTGAAAATAAGAATCAGCAAAAGTTACTTTCGTGAACTGAACACAAGCCCAGATGCTGAATCATGCTTTCATAGTATAACACAATATGAAACAAATGAAAGAAAAAGATCCTTCATGGGTCATATTTCTAATTTTTTTTTTTTTTTCCTTTAAGTGATGTTAGCCCCCGAATAGTGATGGCAATTTCAACCCGCCCCGTGGGCATTACCCGACCTGACCCGCGATAGGCCGGGTATTACCCGACCCGTAGTAGCGTGGGGCGGGGCATGGGTATCTACTTCCGACCCGCCCTGCCCCGTCCCGTTCTAGACTCATTTTATCTCAATTTCTTACAATATCTATACATATTTCTCCTATTTTGACTTTTCTTCAACTAGTTAGAGTCAATCTTTCAACTTGTTAGGCTCAATTATCCATTCTATTATCAATATTTTTTATTCTTAAAGTGTTTTTCCCTACGTTTTATTGTAAAAGGTAAAATTTACTTGTATTTTTTTTTTGAAAAACATGTAAGAGTGGGTCGACCCACCCCGCCCCGTACCCGCGCGTGTTTTACCCACCCCGTCCCGTAGTAGCGTGGGGCGGGGCATGGGAATTGAGCTACCCGCCCCGCCATATTGCCATCGCTACCCCGAAGGGTCAGCAAAATTCCCTGGGGTGGGGTGGAGCTTTCATTTATGACGTTAACTCCAAGTTTCAAGTCCAGAGTTGGTTGAAGAAAGGGTTACTCAAGATAATCAATTTTTAAAGCAAAACCAAGTTATCTTCGTCTAGTCTCCAACATTGAACAACCTTGAATTAAGAATTCAACATATGCAGAATCCACTGAATAACCAGTGACAGGATACCCCTGGATGACCCCACTTTCACTCATTCATTTGACACAAAAACACAAAGGAAGAAGAACTACCTCGAGTAAAAATACCACCAAAACCATTAACTCTTGGTCATTTTATACTTTTAAGGATGAGCTCAGACACAAAGCAAGGACTTCGAAAGCAACAAGCAGACTGACAGAGAGTTAATTAAGCAAAGTGATATTCAGATAGAAACATACCTGAAGAAATAAACTCGTCAATCGGGGACACTGGAGTTTCAGTATCACCAAAGCGTAACAATTGCTGAATAATGTATAAACACCAACAGTGAGCACTATACACAACAAGAATTAGGTGTAGATGTAAACTATCAAAAGAACACATACCTTAAATTCAGAACACCCAAGTTCAAACACGCAATATCAACTTCCTTCAAATTGGTAGACAAAGAAAGGTTAAACGACGACAAATGAGAGCAACGCGCCATTGGTGGGATAAGGGCTTTTCTAATATTACGACAACCAACACAATTGAGGTTCTGCAACAACCGGTTCGGCTGCTCGATTGCTGCATAGTTATCCTCAAGTGAAAAAGAAGCACGTGGGCTATTAACAGTTGGCAACTCTGTCACTTGACCACTGCTACAACCCCAATTTAGGTCATGCATATTCACACATCCATTCAAGCTTAAATGTGTAAGGTGAGTACAGCAGGCAAGAAGATCCTCTATTGCAGACTGACAAAGGGTCCCATATGACAAATCCAGCTCTTGGAGCATAGGTAGAGCACCTTCCTTGTAGAGTGGTTCCAAGGAATCGTCAGTCAGATATTTGCAAGCTTGTAATTTAAGTACCTACAGACAATAAGATAAGTCGATAAAGGGTTGATAAGTCATGCAGCTATGCGGGAATATTTAGAAGCCAGAAATGGCAGCATAACAACTGATCAACCAAAATTGAGTAATTGACCAACAGCTTAAAGATTGAGAACCTTCCAAAAACAGGAAGACATAATCAGATTAAGGAATATGCCAGTAGGTTCTACAGAGATTTGGCATTCAACTCCTAGACCTGTCACTAATAAATTACCAGAGTAGAGCATTAACCACCTCAAAAAGGGTAGTAATGATATAATGAATTTAAGGGTAAGGGAAAGTGAATGCCAAAATATCATTGATGACAACAAAGATCCATTTGAGTCTCCTAGTTGCAGATAAGGTGGCTTATCAGTATAGACCACAGGCATGTTCTATCAGCAAACATCAACAGAATTAGGCAGATAGAAAAAATGTGCACTGGTTATGCAAGGAATTCCTAATAGGATTGATTACCTTTAACTGCAAACAAGACTGAAAAACAGGCAACAGATTCATCAAAAAGGTGTAGGACAGGTCCAGCACAGTCAAATTGGGAAGGCAGCGCAAGGAGTAAAGCCCATCAGAGCCAACAGAGGGGCAAGACATGAGGATTAATGAGTCAATCAACGGGCAGGATGCAGCAGTTGCAGACAAGCAGTCATCCTTAAGTTGGCTGCATATATTTTAAAAATAAAAATAAAAAGAATGGTATTGTCAACCTTAGGGACCTATGGAATAGGTAACTCCAAAACCAATTAAAAGCCATATTACCTGCAGAATGAAGCATCAAGGGAAGTCAAAAGAGGGCAATTGATGGATGCCTCACATAGTACACCACAGCCTTTCAACTCCAAGGACACCATGGAGGGGGCTTCGATTCTCAGGGTGCTTAACTTGGGACATATTCCCAAGTTCAGAGACCTAAGAGCAACCTGGAGAGGGAAAAGTTGTCTTTGTTGGATGAATGAGAAGGAAAATAATAGCCACAAACAGAGAGTCAAAAGGTTCAATCACATGATGTGCAGCATGATTCTCACTTACAGGACAAAAGGATGCTCTCTCCAGATGATCACAACCATCTAAACATACTTTCTCAAGACAGGGGCATATCAGATCAAGAGAAGTGATAGCGCGGCAACCAACTAGAGAAAGACTGAGCAAAGATGTGCTGCAGAATCTTACTGTCGTCAAGCTCTGCAAACATTAAAAAACTCACTTAAAAAATTATCATTAGAGAGATAAGTGGAGAGGAAATGGTGTCATGTTAGAGCAGTAAAAGAATTTCTGGAATATCTCAATGTTTATTTGATGTCAGGGAAGCACAAGGACCAAGTTTGATCGATTCTTGGAACTTAACACATATCATTAACCTGTGCCCCTCCAAATATCGAAGGTGGGCAGAGACATCCAACACTAAAGCATCATCACAAGGATCATGTAAAGCTATTATCTTAATATTATGGTTCAGTTCCTGAGCACCTCATATATGATAAAAGTTCTCCTCGATGCTTCCTCAACCCTTATCCGCCTCTAGGCACAGCTTTGACACGAGAGTCGTGAAGAAGTGTCTAGACTGTCCTAGAACATGTTTTTCATGCAGATACAAGCACACTTGGTTGAAATAAGCAGGCTTACCAAGTGAGAGACTAAAGTTCCTAGAGAGATCTGCATGTATCTATAACAGGAGTCTACAACTCTATTGCCTTATACTACTGAATTGTCATCGTTCTTAAGAAGCAAACTTTTCATGCCTGTCTATTTTAGAAGACTCCCAATTTCTCTCAAAGGCAACCATGTCAAACTTTGATGAGCCGGTAAATATATAGGACAATTACAATTAAAGAATGTCAACATATCGAGTCGAAACCAGATTAGTGTGAGTTGTAAGTCTCCGTACAGATAAAAATGACAGCATTACCACTAGTGACAGACCTCTACGATTGAGCAGAAACTTGTCTCAAAATCTAGCTGCGAAATGAAATGGAACAGAGAAAGAGGACGAAAGAGAACTTCATGTACCTCGCAATTATCAAGAATCAATGATCTCAACATTGGACACCCCCCACCATCACTAAATACCTCACAAATAGAATTGGTTAATGATTCACAATCAGTGAGGTCAACCTCTTGGAGACATTGGCATTGTAAAGCCAAAGTAGTAAGGTTTTCCTGCCTCAGCAACGCTAATTTCTGCATGCCAAGAAAGTATGTTATTAAGTTACTTGAGATAGGACAAAAGATATTTCAGCAAATGATTAACTGCTTCGCAATAGCACATACTTTCAGTGAATTGGAAGTTATGCTGATACGATGGAGTGATGGGCAATTAGACACCATAATAGAAGATAGAGTCACACTTCTTAGATTCAGATCAACAAATCTACAGAGGTAGCAGGACAGCACATAACTATAAGCAGTTCAAACTGAAAACAAGGACCAGATTATGAAAATGCAAATTGCCAAACTGGTGCAGAAGCAGAATTACTTGCGACAATGTACTAAGCTTATCCTCTGCAAACGAGGAAGATCCAATGAAACAGTAGTCAGTAAGTTGCAATTGTTAAGCTCCAAGACCTGAATAAGACTATGTTATCAATCCTTTATCAAGTAATCAACTAAGTTTTCATACTGATGAGTGAATAACATGACGAAGAAGAAGAAAAAGAAGAAAGACCTCCAGCATGTAACTATAAGAAATTGCAGCCATTGAAGCCGAAGTGATACCCTCACAACTATGAAGCCTGAGTTCAGTCAGCAGTGGGAGCCTTACAGACTACAGAGAAAAACAAAGAATGTGTAAGATTATCTATCTAAGATACCAGTTGACTGGTTATCAAGAAAAAGTTAGATGTTAGAGCTGACCTCTAGAGATACGTTCGGACAGTAAGAAGCATCAAGAATATGGAGATTAGAACAAGTTTGGGCTATCTCGCGTAATGTCTCGTCACTGACACAAGAACAATTTGACATGTCTAAGGACTCCAGTTGTGGGCATGAAATTGCAGCTGAGCGGATTGCCGCATCTGAAAGCTTGTGACATGATCCAATATCAAGGGCATGCAGAAGGGGACAACTCAGTACAGCTTGCCCCATGTTGCTGCGCTTCAGAGACAATGTTTGAAGCTCTGGACACCTGAAAGATATGTATATAAGAATAAGATAGGCAAATAACAAGTAATGGTAGGTTTTGTTTGAAAATGTGAGCATATTTCACCTGATGGATATCCTCAGGACACGACACTTGATAAGCTGAAGATGTTGCAATCTGTCATGGTTTATAGGTATCTCCTGCATACCATTGCCCAGGGTAGCATCATTCACATTCAAACTCCTCAACAAGTTGCATTCTGCCAGAGCATGAAAAAATGGATCTCCCAGCTGTCCTCTTCCCAAAGTCAAAGTCTCGAGGTTTCTGAAGAGCAAAAACACATAAGGCACAATTCAAGAAGCAAATAACATATAGAGGCCACTATATAGTTGAAATTATATATCTAAAACACACACAGAGGCACACACTATACTATATATCTAAACACATAGAGGCACACACTATAGTGAAAATTATATATCTACAACACACGTGGAGGCACATAATATAGTGGTATTACATGAGTATTACTGAGCTATGAAAAATGTGAAAATAACATAGAGTCAGCAACCTTAATGATGAAACTGCTTTCATGACAAGATAGTGGAGAGCAGGAGCACCATGAAGATTCACCTCCACTGCATTTGGGTACCGATGGCACATATCCTCAACTGTAACAATTTTGCATCAAGCAATAAGATTCCACAAAAAAAGGATGACAATCTAATAAGACATCACTAGCATCATAAAATGCTAAAATAATTTCTCAACCAAATTTTAGTCGCTACCACTAGCAGAGAGAAGAAGTACAGGCCAGGCTAACAGCACTTTAAAATATGCATGTATGCCAATTTCAGTGAAGCCCAGTCCTCTAGAGTACAAATTTCAATGAAATCAAAGAGCCTACCACCCCGAAACAGACACAGTAACCAAAGAACCCAAACAAATGTATATAGTGTTAAATCACATCCAACCTCATTAGCAACTTCTGACATTCTCACAGCTTAACCATGAAACTACACATTCCAACTCGTGAACAGTCACTAGTTTATCTAATAAATTTCTTCTATCACAATAAACTGTAAGGAACTGGATACTGCCCAGTTGAGTTGAGAGATGTAAAACATAAGCTGCATGCTACTGTTGCATAAACAAGACTTACATTGTTCTAATGTTACATTGCGATTCTCCAGATTCAAATATCTCCAAAAATCTTCATGTGTGCTAGCTGTTCTCCACTGCTTACAAACCATTGCAGCTCGACAAAGATCAACATGACCCAAGAAAGAAAAGACCTTTGGAAAAGATAAAAAAAAATATATAAATTAGATCCAGAAACAGGTGCGGGAGGCAAGGGACAAGCACAAAAATCAGAGCACTTTACCATATACAAAAGATCATCTGAAAGATCCATTCTAATTTCAAGATCGTCTGACTTAGAAGGGCCACTCTCATCTCCACCACCATTGGAACCAAAGGAAGTTTCATCATTGCTGCTATTCCATATGAAATTATGATAAACTATCGCATCCCCCGATGGAACACCGTGACTCTGGGTAAAGTTGGAGTCCATGGGTTCTGAAGAATTAGAATGGCCAGCATCTGGAGACATCACTGTGACATATTGGCAATCACTGTAGCGAACAATTATCATACAGAAATGGTAACTTGTCAGTAATTCAATAACATTACAATACTGCTACATCACCACCACTACTAGGGTGTAATCTTGGCTTAGTTCTTCAATGTGCTAAACGAAACAAGAAATTCAACTAGGAAAGCACTATGAATTATGGCTCTTCATATTTTCCAGTAAATTGCATAGCTGCATTAACTGCGGAGAGTAGAATGATAATAAATATTAAAAAAAAAATTGCATATTTTCTACGCTTGTACAATGTACGATGCAAGTCCAGCCTATGTGCAATACTATATGCAGTACATGAAGACCAAGATCAAAGCTTTAATTAAAGAATGGAATCAACAAATGAGGCATCTTCAAAATGAAGGCCCGGAACTAGATGAAGAATAAGGCAAAGTCTGGGAGAAAAAAAGAAGGGAGAAGAACGAAATGGACACAAGGGTAGAACTCACTGAGAACCAGAGTAAACTTTGGCACGCTTGCTATGCCAATCCCTGTTACAGTCTTCCACAACATTTCCAGAAACCTCCGCGACGACTGTTGTGGCCGTACCACTAGTCTCACCCCGAAGCCTCTGCGCAAACCTAAGAGTGCTCCTCCTCAAGGCAACCGGAATAGCGACACCATCGTCAGAAGGCGGCGCGTTAACCGACTCGCCAGCCGCATCACCCCCCTCCGCTGCTCTAATCATCTCTTCAAACAACCTCGTCCCGTCCCGATCATGAGTGTCCAGCATGTCATAGTCGAATGTTGGTGCAGCTTCCCCAGGATCCTCGCCGTTAGCCCCAATGCCAACACCTCTGGAGTGGCTGTCATTCTTAAGAGCGGCGTCTCTCATGGCTTCACAATATCCTTTGGTATCAGGTCCTACTTCGTCGTCAAAAGTGAAGCACAAGCAGCACCAAATCTTCATACAATTAAAGGGGCAAAAGGCGGTGCCTTTACAAACCCTAGTTCATAATCTTGCTCATTTCCACCAAGCCCATAAAAAGGGATTGCGACAAAAAGGCAAAAACGTAAAGTCAAATCCAAGAATCGGTGACGGGCAGTCGAGGAGACCTAGATGGCGAAATAATAATAAGAACCAAGAAATGGAAATTCCTTTTGTTGGGGCGGAAGGAGCTGTGATGTTTACCAGTGTATGAAAGAGGAGAATGGGCGGAGGCAGCTAAGGGGTAAATGGCGTAGGAAGAAGCAGAGAAACCGGAGGATTGAGTTAGAGAGAGAATAAGGGACGGGGGAGGAACAGAACGGCACGGATCTGACCAGATCTTAGAGGCCTGCTTCGGAAATGGTGGTGGGATGCCTAGTGCTGGCAATGGCATATTGAAGCAGGGAGATCAGTGCAACATAATCGTCATCTCACAAATTCGCACTTTTTGCTCGCAAGTCGCAACTGAATTGAAATGTGTTTTTTGTTTTGTTTTCATTTCTGTTTACTGTTTTCCTCGTTTAATCCCCTTCTCCCTCCAATTTAACATTCCTATGGGAAGAAACTAGTTTTTATCGGATTCATTATTGAATGAATTCATGCTATTTGTCGGGCTAGATAAGGTGATTAAGGTCATAAGATTATGGCAGATTTAAATCATTTTCATTTGAAGCAGGAGGAAGCGGGCGGAGACCTGTGCTCGCAGCAGGGTTTTTTTTTTTTTTTTTTTTTGAGAAGCGCAGCAGGGTTTTTTAGTCACATTACTAAGTCAATTTTCGTCTTTCGAACTCATTAAAATTCAATGGCTTCAATCAATCCCCTACCTTCCCGTCCGCCGACCCTTTTCTGGGATTTTTACCAACAGCGACGTGGTATTTTTTTGCCATGGGAATATTTTGGTCATGGGTATGAGAGAGAGAGAGTTTTCCGGTGACCGGCGACTGCGGAGGGAGATTTCCATGCGGCGAGAGATGACGTAAGAGGATTTTCTAGTGGCAGTGTTGGATTTGTAATGTTTGTCGACCTATTTGGCATAAGTCCAATTTGTGTTGTTTATATCATTTCGGTTTGTATCATTTATCATTCTAGTTTGTTACTTCTGTCTAGTTTGCAATATTTCTATTACTAGTTTGTATATATTTTATTTATAATATTTGTTAGTCTAGTTTGTATACTTTATGTTATGATTTGTATACTTTGTATTCATTGATTTATAATACAATTTTACCAGTTTGTATTGTAAGTAGTGTTATTTTGTACTGTTAGTATGTTTTGTAATGTTTGTCGGTTTATTTTGTAATGTTTGTAAGTTTGGTTATTTTTGTCCACCATGTTTGTCATTTTTGTCAACCATGTTTGTAATATTTTTTATGTCTAAAAAACAATCTGGTTGACTTTTGGATGAAACTCCTCTCTATAAAGATGGAGCCTCCAAAGTCAACGTGTGTGTTTTTTCATTTTGTATGTTTTGTCGGTATAGTTTGTCATATTTGTCCATCATGTTTGTAATGTTTGTATGTCTAAAAAACAATCGGATTGACTTTGGGATAGAGCCCCTTTATATAGGGATGGAGCCTCCAAAATCAACCCGGTTGTTTTTTTTAATTTGTAAGGTTTGTATTGTTTGTCGATCTAGTTTGTATTGTTTTTACCGTTCGTATGTTTGTGTTGTGTTGTAAATTTGTTTGTATGTTCTTATCATTTTAGTTTGTAATGTTTCTATGTTTGTATTCTTTGTACTATTTGTAAGTCCGGTTTGTATACTTCAAAATTTTTCATAATATCCAAAATGCCCATATCACTAATTAAATAGCTCTTTCCATTTTTTAACCGTTAGATTAGTGTGTCCAGATCTAAATGCTAGGAGGGGGGCTTAGCCAAGTGACTAAGCACCCCCTAGCCATCTGATCCTTCCTCGTTATTTGTCATTTCTTCATAAAAATCAATTCATTCAAATGATTTGAGGTTTTTACAATAATTTATTTAATAATCGAAAGTAATATTTGTACTACTTGATAATTGTGGTATTGGTAATATTTAGTTCATATATATTTTTGTGATTAGATTATCTTAACTTACTATTGTTTATATGTATTTCATATTATAAACTTTGCACTACTTACGGTTAGTATAAATTGCTTATAATTATTTCTTTATACTAGTATTAATAACATTTTTCTCTATTAAATCCAAACGGAACTAAGAAAATTATGTATTAAAATAGTAATTAAAACCTTCAATGGATTTGCGTATTGCTAATATGTAAGCATAAAATTCTTCGGTTAATGGGTACAAACTTTATGGTCAACAATCATATAAAAGGATAATAATTAATAGGCGGTCGACCACTTTCCAAGAAAACGGTCTATCTCTTCTAGTAAGCGGTCAACTACTTTCCAAGAAAATGGTCTACCACTTTCCAAGAAAACGGTCTACCACTTCTACCAAGAGGTCTACGCTTCCACCAAGTGGTATACCACTTTCAGCAAGGGGTCGACCTAATGACACTTACTTTCAATTGAAACCCGCTTGTTGGAAGCGGTAGAGTGGTCTACTAAATTCGGAAAACGGTCTATCGCTTTTGGCAAATGCCTACCACTTATGGCGAACGGTCTACCGCTTCTGGCAAACGATCGACCAGATGATATAATTATCTGCTACTTACATTAGGAAAATAATGGACAATAGGAGGCCTACAATACAATATTGATTTGCAGTAATGCAACTTTCTATCACTCGTGGGCAACCAAACCCTCTACACGAGTACTAAAGGTCTATTGCTCTAAATAAATATAGAGCTCCCCATACAAGAAAAGTCTAGAAAATGACGAGGAAAATCTTTAAAAAATAGAGTATGTGTTTGAATAAGGAAAAGTGTGTAAAGTAATGTCAAGTCGATGATAGAAACCATTCAAAGCTGAAATGTTTATAAAAAGCTTCACTTTGTCGTTTTGAGACTTTGCTAGTTGGTGGTTAATGCTTAGGTTGAATTGCATGATGTCCTTGCATATGTGGTTAGGATTCTCTCGTGTTGTTGTTGACCTTTTAAGTTCACTTATGCTCTGATGTTATTTAGTATGTTTTTTTAATGATTTTCAAGGTACAAAACAACCTAGGAGGATTTGGATCAGGCATTGGATAACTCCAGAGAACCAAAAATGCTATAAAGAGAAGAATATTGAGCTTTCATGTTAAAGACGGGTTCAATGACGCAAAAATCTACTATTAACCACGAGTAAAGCCCAAGAAGAGCCCAATGGATGAAGACTTGGCCGAATAAGAAATAAGAACCAGTGGCGGCCCAGCAACGGGTCCAACTGTCGCCCAAGCAAATTTGCATATATCACGACGAAATCTTTAGAAGAGGTTACTTGCAGGCCAAGGAGTCCATCCAATAAAAAAACTTTGTAGACACTCTGCTCAAGTGAGAGCTTAGCATTCGTAGGAGAGGATGCAGCTAAGGAGATACCTTGATTATCGATGGTAGTACCTCCTTCTTTTCTATATATGGCTAGTTTGACATTAATTGTACGAGAATGTGAACTCATTTATCTTTTTATGCATTGATAATATGATTTCATATGATGCTTATGTTTATGCTTAAACTTACGAATTTTGATGCTTGTGATGTATGCATGGATGCTTTGGTTTCGATGCCTATGTAATGATCCTTGTTATTTATCTAGTATGCAACTTTCTTATCATTGATGCTTATGACACTATAGGCTATCATATGCATTGTACTTAGTATCATCTTTCTTATCCTTGATATTACCCTCTAGTGATACCCCATTTAGGAGTGAAAATCGGTACGGTATCGGTATCTCAATAGTAAATAGGGATGGCAATGGGTCGGGTCGGGTTTTGCCAAACCCAAACCCATGGGTTAATCCGGGAAAAAAATCCGGGGTAAAACCCACTGGGTTTGAAAAACTCAAATCCAACCCAACCCGCTGGGTACCCATGGATTTTTATCGTAAAAAATTTACAATAACAAGTACCTATCAAAATAAAATTCAAATATCAATCTCTCAATACAAATTATCCATATATAAAACACCATTCTAAAAAATTCAATCAAATCACAAATTAACCATACAAATTGTTCAACACCAATCTAGATAACTCATGAAAATTGAAGCAAATAAAAAATTATCCATAAACAACATGATTAATTGAAATCTTCTTCCTCCTTGGCAATTAACCTTCTTCACTTTCTACTCGATAATATCAACTTCATTCTACAAAATTAGAAAGAAAAAATTAGACATGTCTCCACAAACATAAAGAAGATTAGTTGTTTAGAATATTAAATATACCGAAAAAATTAATTATATGGGTGTGGGCGGCTACCCATGGGGCGGGTTTACCTAAACTCAAACCCAACTCGATGAATAGTGAACGGGTTTAAACCCGAATCCGGCTCAAAACCCGTCAACACGGGTTTTACCTGCGTTGACCGGGTTGGGTCGGGTAGGGTACTCGTGGGTTCGGGTTTTGTTACAATTCCTAATACCAAATACCAAAATCCCGAATATCGAATTATACCCTAAAATCAATCCCAATTCGAATCCCTAAATAATTTCGGTATCCCAATCCCAATCCCTAAATATTTTGGTATCCCAATCTGTATTATCGAACACGAAATTAATTATATTGGCAATTAATAATTAAATATATAAATTAGATTTAATTATTTAATTTAGGAGAAAAAGACTATACAAAGAGTCTTGAGTTTGCCTAGAGCTAGGATATGGATAAGAAGAATGGAGGAGAGGTGACATCTCAAATTCTTGTCATTTGTAATCTTTAATTTGACGAATTGGAGGTTGAGAGTATAGGTGTCAAAACATGACCCGACCCGAAACCGATCTGCAACCTGCCCGCAATCCAATTTGACTAAAAGTCAAAGACTTGCAACCCGGCCAACCCGTAACCCGATTGACCTGTAACTCGATTAACCCGTAACCCGATTGACCCCCAACCCGCTTGACCTGAACCTGATTGACCCGCAACCCGCTTAACCCGCTTAACCCGATTGACCAGCAACCCAATTAACCCAACCCGAACCTGCCCGATTGGCACGAATAATACCCCATAATATATTTTATTGTATAAATATTATATATGTATGATACCAGTAAGGACGGAATGAGACAGCAAAAAAAAAGATTAACTTGAAAATAGTTTGTAAAGTAAATGATACTGGAAATGACCAGATTAGCAAAAAGTAAATACTGGAGATGACCAAATTAGCAGAAGATAAATACTGGAGATGACCAGTTTTGCATAAAATAAATACTGGAGATGACCAGTTATGCACGAAATAAATAAAAGTTGAAGATGATTTGAAAAAGATGAAGTAAAACTTGATAGTTTGATAGACTTCTTACACAGGAATTCTTGAGAGAAGATGATGTGAGGATAGCTTTGCAAGAGAGCAATTCCCACTCAAAACAACTCTGATTACAACAAGTGAAGGGAGTCTCCTTTTATAGAGAAATGGAGTCCCCT